TAACCTAACCTAACCTAACTTTTTCGGCTACCTAACCTAACCTAACTTATAAAGATAGGTTAGGTTAGGTTAGGTAGGGTTGGTTAGGTTCGGTCATATATCTACGTTAATTTTAATTGCAATAAAAAAAAATTGACCTCATTCATAATGAAATGGATAGCTTTATCATTTCATAAGAAAAAAAATAGAGAAAATATATTAATTCAGGAAAACTTGGCTTATTAGGCAAATCGGGCCTTGCATAGTAGGCTGAAAAGTGCGTTCTGGCTATTAGGTACGACATATATATATATATATATATATATATATATATATATATATATATATATATATATATATATATATATATATATATATATATATATATATAAGCCTATACTTGCATAAACCACAAGTGAAGATAAACAATCTTTGGACAACACCCACCAGTGGGACTCGAACCCAGAAAGCACAACTACCTTCCAGTAGCTGGCATAACTAGTATGCTTTAACCCACTACGCCATCAGACCTTACAAAAGAAGTAGATAGTTCGAGATATATATCTCAAACATCTCTACCTCCCGAAGGCACCAGATGAGTGAGGGGTCAGTCTGCATTTTTCGTCAAGCCACTGTCAATGTGAGAGAACTCGTGTCCAGCTTATAAGCCTATACTTGCATAAACCACAAGTGAAGATAAACAATCTTTGGACAACACCCACCAGTGGGACTCGAACCCAGAAAGCACAACTACCTTCCAGTAGCTGGCATAACTAGTATGCTTTAACCCACTACGCCATCAGACCTTACAAAAGAAGTAGATAGTTCGAGATATATATCTCAAACATCTCTACCTCCCGAAGGCACCAGATGAGTGAGGGGTCAGTCTGCATTTTTCGTCAAGCCACTGTCAATGTGAGAGAACTCGTGTCCAGCTTATAAGCCTATACTTGCATAAACCACAAGTGAAGATAAACAATCTTTGGACAACACCCACCAGTGGGACTCGAACCCAGAAAGCACAACTACCTTCCAGTAGCTGGCATAACTAGTATGCTTTAACCCACTACGCCATCAGACCTTACAAAAGAAGTAGATAGTTCGAGATATATATCTCAAACATCTCTACCTCCCGAAGGCACCAGATGAGTGAGGGGTCAGTCTGCATTTTTCGTCAAGCCACTGTCAATGTGAGAGAACTCGTGTCCAGCTTATAAGCCTATACTTGCATAAACCACAAGTGAAGATAAACAATCTTTGGACAACACCCACCAGTGGGACTCGAACCCAGAAAGCACAACTACCTTCCAGTAGCTGGCATAACTAGTATGCTTTAACCCACTACGCCATCAGACCTTACAAAAGAAGTAGATAGTTCGAGATATATATCTCAAACATCTCTACCTCCCGAAGGCACCAGATGAGTGAGGGGTCAGTCTGCATTTTTCGTCAAGCCACTGTCAATGTGAGAGAACTCGTGTCCAGCTTATAAGCCTATACTTGCATAAACCACAAGTGAAGATAAACAATCTTTGGACAACACCCACCAGTGGGACTCGAACCCAGAAAGCACAACTACCTTCCAGTAGCTGGCATAACTAGTATGCTTTAACCCACTACGCCATCAGACCTTACAAAAGAAGTAGATAGTTCGAGATATATATCTCAAACATCTCTACCTCCCGAAGGCACCAGATGAGTGAGGGGTCAGTCTGCATTTTTCGTCAAGCCACTGTCAATGTGAGAGAACTCGTGTCCAGCTTATAAGCCTATACTTGCATAAACCACAAGTGAAGATAAACAATCTTTGGACAACACCCACCAGTGGGACTCGAACCCAGAAAGCACAACTACCTTCCAGTAGCAGACGAAAAATGCAGACTGACCCCTCACTCATCTGGTGCCTTCGGGAGGTAGAGATGTTTGAGATATATATCTCGAACTATCTACTTCTTTTGTAAGGTCTGATGGCGTAGTGGGTTAAAGCATACTAGTTATGCCAGCTACTGGAAGGTAGTTGTGCTTTCTGGGTTCGAGTCCCACTGGTGGGTGTTGTCCAAAGATTGTTTATCTTCACTTGTGGTTTATGCAAGTATAGGCTTATAAGCTGGACACGAGTTCTCTCACATTGACAGTGGCTTGACGAAAAATGCAGACTGACCCCTCACTCATCTGGTGCCTTCGGGAGGTAGAGATGTTTGAGATATATATCTCGAACTATCTACTTCTTTTGTAAGGTCTGATGGCGTAGTGGGTTAAAGCATACTAGTTATGCCAGCTACTGGAAGGTAGTTGTGCTTTCTGGGTTCGAGTCCCACTGGTGGGTGTTGTCCAAAGATTGTTTATCTTCACTTGTGGTTTATGCAAGTATAGGCTTATAAGCTGGACACGAGTTCTCTCACATTGACAGTGGCTTGACGAAAAATGCAGACTGACCCCTCACTCATCTGGTGCCTTCGGGAGGTAGAGATGTTTGAGATATATATCTCGAACTATCTACTTCTTTTGTAAGGTCTGATGGCGTAGTGGGTTAAAGCATACTAGTTATGCCAACTACTGGAAGGTAGTTGTGCTTTCTGGGTTCAAGTCCCACTGGTGGGTGTTGTCCAAAGATTGTTTATCTTCACTTGTGGTTTATGCAAGTATAGGCTTATAAGCTGGACACGAGTTCTCTCACATTGACAGTGGCTTGACGAAAAATGCAGACTGACCCCTCACTCATCTGGTGCCTTCGGGAGGTAGAGATGTTTGAGATATATATCTCGAACTATCTACTTCTTTTGTAAGGTCTGATGGCGTAGTGGGTTAAAGCATACTAGTTATGCCAGCTACTGGAAGGTAGTTGTGCTTTCTGGGTTCGAGTCCCACTGGTGGGTGTTGTCCAAAGATTGTTTATCTTCACTTGTGGTTTATGCAAGTATAGGCTTATAAGCTGGACACGAGTTCTCTCACATTGACAGTGGCTTGACGAAAAATGCAGACTGACCCCTCACTCATCTGGTGCCTTCGGGAGGTAGAGATGTTTGAGATATATATCTCGAACTATCTACTTCTTTTGTAAGGTCTGATGGCGTAGTGGGTTAAAGCATACTAGTTATGCCAGTTACTGGAAGGTAGTTGTGCTTTCTGGGTTCGAGTCCCACTGGTGGGTGTTGTCCAAAGATTGTTTATCTTCACTTGTGGTTTATGCAAGTATAGGCTTATAAGCTGGACACGAGTTCTCTCACATTGACAGTGGCTTGACGAAAAATGCAGACTGACCCCTCACTCATCTGGTGCCTTCGGGAGGTAGAGATGTTTGAGATATATATCTCGAACTATCTACTTCTTTTGTAAGGTCTGATGGCGTAGTGGGTTAAAGCATACTAGTTATGCCAGCTACTGGAAGGTAGTTGTGCTTTCTGGGTTCGAGTCCCACTGGTGGGTGTTGTCCAAAGATTGTATATATATATATATATATATATGTTGTACCTAGTAGCCAGAACGTTGTACTCGGCCTACTATGCAAGGCCCGATTTGCCTAATAAGTCAAGTTTTCCTGAATTAATATATTTTCTCAAATTTTTTTCTTTTGAAATGATAAAGCTACCCATTTCATTATGTATGAGGTCAATTTTTTTTATTGGAATTAAAATTAACGTAGATATATGACAGAACCTAACCAACCCTACCTAACCTAACCTAACCTATCTTTATAGGTTAGGTTAGGTTAGGTAGCCGAAAAAGCTAGGTTAGGTTAGGTTAGGTAGGTTAGGCAGTCGAAAAAACATTAATTCATGAAAACTTGGCTTATTAGGCAAATCGGACCTTGCATATTAGGCTGAGAAGTGCGTTCTGGCTATTAGGTACGACATATATATATATATATATATATATATATATATATATATATATATATATATATATATATATATATATATATATATATATATATATATATATATATATATATATATATCTTTATATATAAAAATTGGGGTTCAGATGGACCGACATGAAATGAAATTGGACCTGGGAAAACACGTGACCGTTGCTGCTCCAGACAGACCAAGTCTACCCCCAAAAATAACCTTTATATTACTAAACAAAACTTCTTTAAGTTTTGAGTTTTAAAAGAGTTGAGCACCACTTTCAATATTGATTTTGTCAACATGGCCGAGGAAGAGACAGCAATATCGCGGAGGCGCTGGTAAGAACGTATTATTATTCAAAACAGTCGCGTCTGCTTACCTTTATCGTGAACGTAGACAACTTAGTGAGGATGAGAAAAAGGGGAAGAATATGCAGATAATATTTTCTATCTGCGAGGAGGTGAGGGTCTGGGCGTTGTGTTAGATGAGCACATAAAAGCAAGAGCAAGTAATCGTTGATTGTTAGTAGAGCAATACCAGAGTGTGACGAATATTAATAGAGAGACGAACATTACCAGAGTGTGACGAATAGTACCAGAGTGTGACGAATAGTACCAGAGTGTGACGAATAGTACCAGAGTGTGACGAATAGTACCAGAGTGTGACGAATATTAATAGAGAGACGAACATTACCAGAGTGTGACGAACATTACCAGAGTGTGACGAACATTACCAGAGTGTGACGAATAGTACCAGAGTGTGACGAATAGTACCAGAGTGTGACGAATAGTACCAGAGTGTGACGAACATTACCAGAGTGTGACGAATAGTACCAGAGTGTGACGAACATTACCGGAGTGTGACGAATAGTACCAGAGTGAGACGAATAGTACCAGAGTGTGACGAATAGTACCAAAGTGTGACGAATAGTACCAGAGTGTGACGAATAGTACCAGAGTGTGACGAATAGTACCAGAGTGTGACGAATAGTACCAGAGTGTGACGAATAGTACCAGAGTGTGACGAATAGTACCAAAGTGTGACGAATAGTACCAGAGTGTGACGAATAGTACCAGAGTGTGACGAATAGTACCAGAGTGTGACGAATAGTACCAGAGTGTGACGAATAGTACCAGAGTGTGACGAATAGTACCAGAGTGTGACGAATAGTACCAGAGTGTGACGAGCAACACAAGAAAGTGGGACGAGCAGCACAAGAGAGAGCGACGAGCAACACAAGAGAGAGCGACGAGCAACACAAGAGAGAGCGACGAGCAACACAAGAGAGTGGGACGAGCAACACAAGAGAGAGCGACGAGCAACACAAGAGAGTGGGACGAGCAACACAAGAGAGTAGGACGAGCAACACAAGAGAGAGCGACGAGCAACACAAGAGAGTGCGACGAGCAACACAAGAGAGAGCGACGAGCAACACAAGAGAGAGCGACGAGCAACACAAGAGAGTGCGACGAGCAACACAAGAGAGAGCGACGAGCAACACAAGAGAGAGCGACGAGCAACACAAGAGAGAGCGACGAGCAACACAAGAGAGTGGGACGAGCAACACAAGAGAGTGGGACGAGCAACACAAGAGAGAGCGAAGAGCAGCACAAGAGAGAGCGACGAGCAACACAAGAAAGTGGGACGAGCAACACAAGAGAGAGCGAAGAGCAGCACAAGAGAGAGGGACGAGCAACACAAGAGAGAGCGACGAGCAACACAAGAGAGAGCGAAGAGCAGCACAAGAGAGTTGGACGAGCAACACAAGAGAGAGCGACGAGCAACACAAGAGAGAGCGAAGAGCAGCACAAGAGAGTGGGACGAGCAACACAAGAGAGAGCGACGAGCAACACAAGAGATAGCGACGAGCAACACAAGAGAGAGCGACGAGCAACACAAGAGAGAGCGACGAGCAACACAAGAGAGTGGGACGAGCAGCACAAGAGAGTAGGACGAGCAGCACAAGAGAGTGGGACGAGCAACACAAGAGAGAGCGAAGAGCAGCACAAGAGAGAGCGACGAGCAACACAAGAGAGAGCGACGAGCAACACAAGAGAGTGGGACGAGCAGCCCAAGAGAGTGGGACGAGCAACACAAGAGAGAGCGACGAGCAGCACAAGAGAGTAGGACGAGCAACACAAGAGAGAGCGACGAGCAACACAAGAGAGAGCGACGAGCAACACAAGAGAGCGACGAGCAACACAAGAGAGTGGGACGAGCAGCACAAGAGAGAGGGACGAGCAACACAAGAGAGAGCGACGAGCAACACAAGAGAGAGCGAAGAGCAGCACAAGAGAGTGGGACGAGCAACACAAGAGAGAGCGACGAGCAACACAAGAGAGAGCGACGAGCAACACAAGAGAGAGCGACGAGCAACACAAGAGAGAGCGACGAGCAACACAAGAGAGAGCGACGAGCAACACAAGAGAGAGCGACGAACAACACAAGAGAGAGCGACGAGCAACACAAGAGAGAGCGACGAGCAACACAAGAGAGAGCGAAAATCAGCACAAGTGAGTGGGACGAGCAGCACAAGAGAGTGGGACGAGCAACACAAGAGAGAGCGAAAAGCAGCACAAGAGAGTGGGACGAGCAGCACAAGAGGTGCTACGAAGAGTGCGACGAACAGCACTCTTCGTGTTTTACCACTGCACCTCAGAGATTTATCTACCTCTCTCTTTCCCCTCTCTTCAAACATCCTCCCTCTCCTCCTTTTTATTTCCCTCTCTTCAAACATCCTCCCTCTCCTCCTTTTTATTTCTCTCTTCAAACATCCTCCCTCTCCTCCTTTTCATTTCCCTCTCTTCAAACATCGCCTCTCACCTCCCTTCTTCCTTTTCTCACCTTTATCTTTTTCTCTTTGTGTCTCAGGAAATGTAATACTGAATTCCTGTTCATAATTTTTTAGTTACGAAATCTAGGGAATCATCGTATCATCTTTCACCTAATTCGTAACAGGAGAGTCACTACTGACTCTACTACACCAACCCGTTCTCGCACTTTCTTATAGTTGTTACGGACCCGAGTCCAGCGTCCTAGCACGGAGCAGTGACGACAACGCCATCTGCCAGTCTGCTCCCGAAACTCCCTCCAAATGGACAGCGCCATCTAGTGAGGACAGGATATACTCGCCACAGGTGCTGGATTCCCGTCTTGATCAGCTCATAACATAGCCGCTGCTGACCTCTGGTGAGGTGGCGCTTAGACAGCAACGCCATCTATGGAGTGGATAGGTGGGCGTTTGTGTCTAAGCCTGTAAGTGAGGTGCCCTAGAGTGTCCCTAGTACTGATGACGTGTCTGATTACAGAGTCGACCTGGGACTGCTGGATTGGACGGTGGATGAGTCTACCCATGGCAGCCAAAGTCTCTCCATGTGTTTGCTGCAGAAGCTGTGAAGTCACCCGTCGGACGAACACTGTTGAGTGTGTTAGCCTGCCTGTGACGTGGCAGTACCAGGAATCGTCTTATCTGGGGGCTGGCTGGTGGAAGAGACTACCCACTGTGGTGTGGAGAGAGGAGAGTGATCTGAGGAATCGCACGAGGCTCCTGCCTAGGGCTCGCAACCCTAGTATCGGTCGTGGAGTAGCCTACACAGTGGAGCTGATCGGAACCTGCCAGCTACAGGCTGGATTTGTGGTTGAAGGCCTCCACGACAGTGCACCCAGTGGGACTGTGATTTGGCTGGCCTGTAGCCAGGGTAGATTCGCTGAGAGAATCAGAGGATTCATCGTGGGCCACGACGAAGAGAACCAGGGCTACTCATCTTGAGCACCGTGGAGCATCCTGTGTCTTCAGAGGAAGACTAATTTGTATATAATAAGTGTAGTTATAGCAACCCCGCATGTGACTGTGATATATTTATGGTGGTGTTACCAATATATATACAAAAGCAGTGCATTTGTATCCCTTCCCCTTTAATTTAACTTGCGTTATGGAATGCACCCCTTGAAAGCCACTACTAGCTTGGGGCCGGATACCCAAACTCTAATAACATCAGAGAAGAACCCAGTTGCGACCCAATAGGGCCGTAACAATAGTCAATATTGGCTTATTAAATAAATGCATATGTGACATATTAATTTATTGTGAATATTTTAGTTTACCTTGATAAGCTTTATAGAAAACACCGACTTACCTAACCTTTTTAGTATCTTAAGATAAGCATCTTATTGCTTCTTAATTACAATTATTACTTAACAAATTATAGGTATAGGTTAAATAATAATTGTAATTACAAAGCAATAAGATGCTAATCTTAAGATACTAAGAAGGTTAGGTAAAGTCGGTGTTTTCTATAAAGCTTTTCAAGGTAAACTAAAATATTCACAATAAATTAGTATGTCACATATGCACTTATTTAATAAGCCATTATTACCTATAAGAAAGTGCGAGAACGGGTTGCTACACTGCTGTCTCGGACCCTGACGAATAATAAGTCCAATAATACCGACCCTGTACCCCAAACCATTCAACCTGCAAAATTGAAGGAGACTAGACGCATGCGTCTCTGTTTCTCTGTCTATGTATGTGTCGCTGTATCCGTCTTTCTCATTATCTCTGTATCTGTCTCTCCATCTCTGCCTGTATGTTTCTGATTACTGCTCTCTGTCTATTTGTATATAATTCATTTATCGGTCTCTCGATATATTTCTTTGTTTCGGCTTTCCTTTCTGTCTGTCTGACTTTCTGCCTCTCCATGTCATTGTCTCTCAAGACGTTAACCAAATCCTGCTCTCTGAGCCAAGGTAGAAAGTTAAAAGTTAGCGAATCTTTTTCCTCTTCTACGGATGATACTCGTAAGCTTACTTGAATAACTCCTGGCTAAGTCTGGAGGACTTTGGGATTATGTCCACGGCGCAGCATGCTGATATCGTCTTTATTTTTCAGTGCTCATGCTTAAATTTTTTATTTTCATTATGTTTTTACGTAATAGTTAATTTAAAACAGTTGATATATATCTATTCAAATACGTGCACTGCGGAGCATCAAAACCAGAACGTAAAACGTTTCAAACAGTTTTTACGGTTCAAGTATATTATGTGCCCAAATACATAAAAGTTTATATATACTCGCATTTTCACATTCATTGGCAAACACCATGGTAAAAATATATAAAGAGGATAAAATATATAGGATTTCGAATAAAAAGACCTCGTAATCTCTTTAGAAAAATCTTTAGCGGAAGTTATAGGAAAGATAGGTGAGGATACACGAGAAAATTATTTCCTTCACATGCAGGAATTTCCTCAGATGTTGAGTGAAACAAGATAATGATGCAGACTGACAGGAGAGGCAGAGTAATGGCAAATAGACGGTCTTTGTGAAATGTTGATGGTGATAGTTAGTGAAAAATTATTCCAGCCACAAACGAGCTTTATTTGTACTATTATGGTACACTGCCTCACTACGTCTCCCCCCCCCCCCCCCCCCCCCACCAGACAGAGGTACTGTTCTGCTATAATACCTCACTACGTCCCTACCATCTCATAGATGGTGCTACTACAACCAATTTGTCACCAGTCCGACTACCATCTTAGTATCAGTTTTTAGTTCAACCATGTATTAGCTTCCAATAGTGATGTTAAGAAAGTATTACAACAAAATATAGACATAAATATTTATGGAAAACTTTCTGGCAATACTTTTAAACCCAGAGTAAAAAACATGGTCGTTGTTGGTTACATTAGAAGTCTTTATTTCAATGGAATTTTTATTATGCACTGCTTTGCAATCAGTTTTTGCTAGCAGGATGCTCGCAGCACTTAAACAACAATTTTGTATAAAGACTTTTGAATAGCGTTTGGAGACAGCGTGATACTACATTTAATTTTTTTTACAAAATCAACTGTATGTTGAAAAACAATATTCCTTGATAATGTGTTGAAAGACGAAAAGTTTTTGAGTTTTTGAAAACATGAATTTTCTTACGCACAGCTGTAACGCATGTTCTTGTGTTGACATGTAGATGAAAATATATTATGAAGTTTATGTTATATTATGAAAATGCTAAGATATATATAACAGATAATACAATAACAATATTAATATTATTAATAATAATAGCAATAGTAATAATAATAATAATTATACATATAATAACAATAAGAGCTAGTTAGCATACTAAACATCGGTGCCGACGCTACTGCTATTAACAGGCCCATCACCGCGTTGTCCTCTGAAAATCCTAGGGTTCTGAGCAACCACGACTTCAAGTCATCGGTGTGTTGTGAGGAAGAACATATCAACACTAAGAATCAGAGAATGGTTGTTGGAAAGGGAACGTGACCTCTTTTACCTGCAATTCAAAGATAAACATCGATGTTGATTATTTTCTGTCAAGCTGATTGGTATTGAGCACTCCCAGGTACCCGTGGCCACCCAAACTCTATAACTACACTGGGCGCCCACCTCCAAAAGACCTTTTTTTAGGACCATATCACTGGCCTAGTCAGAGTCTTACCATAAACGCCGAAGCGATACCCTGCGAACGGTGCCACAAGGGGGCCCCTGAGATGGTGTACTAAGTCAACCAGGGAAAGGTTGATCAAAAAGCTAAAATAGGCACTAGGTATTCCTGAATCCTCATATGGGAAACACGTTTTATATTCCGTTGGAAGATAGTGAATTCTCTTAGGAATAGGAGTGTTTAGGCATTAAGGGCAGTAAATCAGTCCTCGCTACGCACAGACGTCATGTGTGGAAGTCAAAGAGAAAGAGAATGCGAGGAGAGCCAATTCATCGACGTACAGCAGGCACAGAAGACAATTGCTATTGAGGCTACACCAAATCCTTCTTCCAGCAAGACACTAGACATAATGGAACAGGACAATATTATGAGCCTGGTAAGGATACCCACCACTCACACACCAGCCAATGTTAGACACTGTACATCTACCAAGGTTCAAGATAATGCAGACAGACGGCTTTCCTACAGCATGTGGAGTAGTTAAAAGAGTGACCAGGACTCAAAATTTCTATCACATTCAACTTGTGAGGAAAAATTATAACGACATTATCAGACCAAAAGGCTGCAAATTACTCAGAAACATTAGCATTCCTACAAGGTAAACATATATCCTAGGAAACGTTGGACCCTTCAGAAAGACAAACACGACTCATACTATTG